ATTTTAATGTTAATTCCAGAAACCCTTTGAGTAAGGAGGGTCTCTAGTCTACTCTGACAACGTTAAGTGCAACTAAAAAGTGAATTAAGTCACATTCTTTATTTCAATGTCACTGTACTCAGATATTTCGTTAAATTGTTGAAAGCAAAGAAAAAGTTTAAGAAGACAGCACAGTTGTTTACTTTGCGCAGGATGAGTAAGGGTCGATAATCTAAGTTGTGTATATAACCCATTTGCTCAATCCTGAAAGCATTCCCTTATTTCCCCCATTATATGTGGAGCTCACAGACAAAAATTCTTTTTCATCACTTTGAACTTGTCTTTATCGTATACCAAGCCTATGTCACATTGTCTTGATCTTTTCCTAAATTACCGTGATCAGAATATCACCAATAATCCACGTGTGTGTTTGAATAAATGCAGTTAGTGCCTTCTAAAAACTGGAAAAAATGGGCAAAACCTGAACAGCTCCTTCCTAAACTGGAAATATCTGTGGACACTTACGTGCGAATAGCATTTCTCTTACCTCTTTAAAGCGGTTTTTGAAATGGACTTAACAAGTAGCAATAAAACAAGTTAGACTAGATTTGATCTCTACATAGTGTGATCAACAGTCCCAGTTTGCTCAGGAGTGAAGGGTTTCCAAGGACATAAGACTCAATACCAAAACTGAGCAAGTTCCAGGTAAAACAGGGAGAGTTTGTCACTCTTTCTCTTAAGTTCCCTTTCACCTTTAATATTTTTGCAACCATAAATATAGTTGTGATCACTGTTTTTTAGCCAATAAAAAAGCAACAATTTATGTACAGAACCATAGGCTCTACTAATTTTCCCATGTCCTCATTTGAACAATCTTTCAGTGAGAGAGAAGAAAAGCACTAAACCCAGGTAGCTTAGAAGTCATCTAAAATTTGGCTACTTAGGAAGAAAGAAAGCATATACAAAAACTCAAAGTATCTCAAAAGGGAGACTTACCCTCCTTAATTTTTCCTCCTACCCCACTTTATTTGGAATGCATACCTCTTCCTCAATTCTGCTGCATCTATCTCCCTGAGAATAAAAGCTTAACACAAACCAGATGACTGTGTCTATAAAACTTCTGTCTTCAACAGAAACCTGCTCTCCTTCTAGTAGGCCTAAAAATCCAGAAAATGAGAAGTACATGCATTGATCTGTTGTTTCAAGCATTGTTTCAATGCAGATTTGCTTTCCATGAAGTCAAAAGGTCTGTCTGCGTTCCCTCCAATTAACTCCGGCTTTACACTTTCCATGGACAACTTTAGTTATCTCAAAGTATGTCACAATATCTTCTAACAGTGATGATACTGATTTTTGTTTGTTTGTTTGTTTTTGGGATGGAGTCTTGCTGTGTCGCCAGGCTAGAGGGCAGTGGCACAATCTCAGCTCATTGCAACCTCCGCCTCCCAGGTTCAAGCGATTCTTCTGCCTCAGCTTCCCAAGTAGCTGGAATTATAGGCACACGCCACCACATCCAGCTAATTTTTGTGTGTTTAGTAGAGATGAAGTTCACCGTGTTGACCAGGATGGTCTTGATCTCTTTACCTCATGATCCACTCGCCTTGGCTTCCCAAAGTGCTGGGATAACAGGTGTGAGCCATGGTGACTGGCCAATACTGATTTTTATGTAAAATGTAGATAACAAAACCTTTCTGAGGGTGGTGATGTCACCAAAAATGCATGAAACTATTCCAAAATTAGTCCTGTGTTTATTCCTTTATTCCTTCTGGTCAGTATGCCCAAAGCACTGACAACAGTTATCTGTCATTTACCATGTTTTAAAAATCTATCAAATCTAACAATTTTCCTTCAGTATCTCTCCCACCCAACTTTCTTTCCTTATTTATTTATTTATTTATTTTAAGACAGAGTCTCACTCTGTCAGCCAGACTGGAGTGCAGTGGCACGATCTCGGCTCACTGCAACCTCCGTCTCCTGGGCTCAAGTGATTCTCCGGCCTCAGCCTCCCAAGTAGCTGCGCTTACAGGCATGTGCCACCACGCCTGGCTAATTTTTGTATTTTTAGTAGAGACATGGTTTCACCATGTTGGCCAGGCTGGTCTTGAACTCCTGACTTCAGGTAATCTGCCCGCCTCGGCCCCTCAAAGTGGTGGGATTACAGGCGTGAGCCACCAAGCCCAGCCCCAGCTTTCTTTTTTATTTTATTTTATTTTATTTTTATTTTTTTAAGGTTAAAAATATTTATTTCTTCAATACAAAATGAATTTAAATAGTTCCCACTTAGACAAAATATATTTATCTGTTCTAATACATTAGAGAGAAACACTTTACTAGAATGACTACTGACTCCAGTAAACAATTATTTTTTTCTGAGAAAAAATTTTAACATTTTAATAAAAATATTAATGTTTTAAATTTGCCTTGATGTACTGAAGATACATATATATATGTTTTTATGATATATATTGCATAACTTTTGAGTTCTTTTAAGTATCTCAACATTTTATTTTATTTATTTATTTATTTTTATTATCATTATACTTTAAGTTCTAGAGTACATGTGCATAACATGCAGGTTTGTTACATATGTATACTTGTGCCATGTTGGTGTGCTGCACCCATCAACTCGTCAGTACCCATCAACTCGTCATTTACATCAGGTATAACTCCCAATGCAATCCCTCCCCACTCCCTGTGATAGGCCCCAATGTGTGATGTTCCCCTTCCTGAGTCCAAGTGATCTCATTGTTCAGTTCCCACCTATGAGTGAGAACATGCAGTGTTTGGTTTTCTGTTCTTGTGATAGTTTGCTGAGAATGATGGTTTCCAGCTGCACCCATGTCCCTACAAAGGACACAAACTCATCCTTTTTTATGGCTGCATAGTATTCCATGGTGTATATGTGCCACATTTTCTTAACCCAGTCTGTCACTGATGGACATTTGGGTTGATTCCAAGTCTTTGCTATTGTGAATAGTACTGCAGTAAACATACGTGTGCATTTGTCTTTATAGCAGCATGATTTATAATCCTTTGGGTATATACCCAGGAATGGGATGGCTGGGTCATATGGTACTTCTAGTTCTAGATCCTTGAGGAATCACCATATTGTTTTCCATAATGGTTGAACTAGTTTACAATCCCACCAACATTGTAAAAGTGTTCCTATTTTTCCACATCCTCTCCCCCAACTTTCTTAATGAATGTCATCTCCTTTAACCATTTTCTATTGCAAAATATATCCCAGTGTTCCATAAAATTGATACAATCTTGTACATAACAATTGACATCCTCCACATCATAGTTTTCATTAGAATCCCTTCATAATTTAGAGTTTGCCATACTAACATTTAGATAATTATACACCTAGGTAATACATGTAGGTAATTTTACTTCAAATTCAGAAGTAAAAAAAAAAAAGTAATTAGGATAAATTTCTATCTATACTTCTGTTGTCATTTACAAAAATTCAATTGAAGTAAACAAAATAAGGGTCAATTTTACACAATTTCAAAAAATTATTTTATATATCTCTGTTTTTATTTATCACAATGCACTGAATTCTGAAAAACAATATTACTTTTAGTAATACTTTAACCATGTTTCCATTCATACTTTCAGTAACTATTTATTGAGTACCCACAGTATCAGATACTGTGTTTAGGTAACATAGACTATGGTATAACAATAAGAATTTAAGGTAAAATGTCATATTTTAGAAAAATTATTGTATCTTATGATCTTCATGTCACAATGAACTGGCAATATCTAGCTAAGAGAAATTTACAATGTCCTATAGATATGCACTGGCTAAGTTTTTTCAACTAAGTGGGCCTTAATTCCCTATATGTGAATAGAAGTACTTACAGTCATGAGATATGTTCCGAATACCCTGAATCTATAAATAGGTGGCTATGTAATTCTTTTTTTTTTTTTTTTTAATTGTAGTTTCACTCTTGTTGCCCAGGCTGGAGTGCAATGGCATGATCTCAGCTCACTGCAACCTCTGCCTCCCAGGTTCAAGCGATTCTCCTGCCACAGCCTCCCCAGTAGCTGGGATTATAGGCACCCACCACCACGCCTGGCTAATTTTTTGTATTTTTAGTAGAGATGAGGTTTCACTATGTTGGCTAGGCTGGTCTCGAACTTCTGACCTCAGGTGATCCTCCCGCCTCAGCCTCCCAAAGTGCTGGGATTACGAGCGTGAGCCACCATGCCTGGCCAATAATTCATCAACTAAACTAGCATGAAAATGGCTACCCTTAGTGATTACTCTAAAATAACAGGTCTAATTCAGGAATGTCCCAGGGTGGTAGAGGGAGATACACACACACACACACACTCACACACACACTCTCTCACACACATACACGTAAGGATGAAGGGCGATGCCACTCACACAGAATTGGCACCCTTCACCAGCTCTAGAATACAGTTCTATGGATACTAACACTACCACTGCTTGACAAAGGTATTAACATCAGATCAAGGACCCTGAGAGTTATTGTGATCTTAAATTCCAAATTTGTTAGGACAGTTCTATTAGTAATAGCCTATCCCTTTATCACCATAAATACATGTATAACTTAAGATGTTAGGTGTCCAAATTTCTGATTTGGAGAATATAGTCATAATAAAAAAAGGATCTTCTCCCCTCTGCGCAGAAATAGGGTGAGGTTTTAAAATTCAGATTCAAAGAGCAAAAGATCAATGCAACTAGGACAGTTCCTGTCACTAGAGGGCAGAAGCCATTCATGTGATGAAGTAAAGAATAATTCAAGCATTTTCTATAAGTTGTTTTGTGGATTTTTAAATGTTTTAGAAAGGTGTCCAAGTAACAGAATAGGATATTTGCTATACCTCTATCTAAACTAAACTTCAATGAAATCTTATTTTTGGCTTAAACTTAGATACAAAATTACATCTAAAAAGTTTGGGAAAAAACAATTTTAATTAGACATTTAAAATTTCATTAAGCTAAACATTTTAGGAAATATAAAAGTCACACTAAGTTTACTTACAATTGACATTAGAGTCAGTATATAGTTTTGCAAATTCGATCCATGAGCAGAAACCACTTTAGCATCAGCTGTAACCATAATTTCAACGTATCTTGGATATGATATAAGACGTTTTTTCCTGGAATGTAATTCACTTCTTTCATCTTTCAATGGTACATTTTTTGATGGGTGTCCTAAAACTCTTTCTTTCATTACATTAAGATCTTCATTCATGTTTCTGTAGGTATGAAAGGGTAAACTGGTTTCCTTTATTTGACTTTCTAGGGAGAAAAAAAGAATATAATATAGAACCATTAAATTGGATGTGATCAAAAATATCGCAAAAAATAGAATAGCCAAAATTATTTAATACTTACATATTTGTTCCCAACATGAAAATAAAAGGACAAAGAGAAATTATTATTTAAAATAGTATTGTACAGCATTGTCATGAAGATTGCTTTCTATAGTAATAAAAAGTTTGCAAAAGTTCACATTTTCTTAGATTTTACCAACAAGAAATTGTATCTAAGTCATATTTGAAAAGGTAAAATTGTATCTAAGTCATATTTGAAAAGGCATGACTATTCAAATGTATTTATTAACTACCAAGTAGAAAATAAAAATATCCAGGACTTCTTATGTTTTTCTCAGTATGTAAATTAGGTTTTCAAGTCAACAATGACATTTAATCTCATTACAGAGTAGTAACATTTTGTAGGGCGAAACTTTATAAAATATAGAACAAAACAAACTTTCTTCACATGTGAAAAGCACCAAGAACAACAGAAAATTAAGCAAAATAACAATATGTGGGTGAATCTATTGAATCCAGAAAGGCAAAAAAAGTTTTTCCTGCCATTTTCTCCTGAAGTGACTTGGCCACTAAAATATCCTTGACCAATTACTGGACCCTAGAGGAGATCCCAGATATACCTGATATGTAGAAATCTCAATCAAGGAAAAGATAAATATTTATGCTTTGATTTATTTGTTAATTTAAAGGAAACATTTATTGCATGCCTAATGCATATCAGGAAACATTTAGATACTGAGGAGCAAATAGCACCTCATAAAGCTTATACTCTAATTGAAAGAGGCAAAAAATAAATTAACAACATAGTAAAGATAAAATTTCAGGTATCTTTAGGTGCATTAATACCAATTCAACTAAAAGACAAAAAAAAATATGATTCTACCTACCAGAATGACTAAAATTACAAAGAGCTATAATACCTAGTGGTACAATCACTTGAAAAACCTATCTGGCAAATTTTAAATTAGACATGCATCTACCCTATGACCCTGCAGTTCCACTCCTAGGTATTTATCTAAGAGAAGGAAAACATATGTTCACAAGAAAACTGGTATAAGTTCACAGCAAAACAAATATATAGACTGATGAACTACAACAGAGACTCCAGATATAAACCCTTGCGTATATGATGAAATGATTTTTGACAAGAGTGCCAAGACCACTCAATATACAAAGACTAACTCAAAATGAGTTACAAATCTAAAAGACCCAAAATATTAAAACTCCTAGAAGAAACCATATAAAGAAAGTGTTTCATAACATTGGATTTGGCAGTGATTTATTGGATATGACATCAAAAGCACAGGCAACAAAAGCAAAAATAGACAAACAGGACTACATCAAACTTAAAAAATATTATTCAAAGGACACAATCAGTAAAGCAAAAAAGCAGCTTATGGATTAGGAGAAAATATTTACAAACTATGTATCTGATAAGGAATTAATATCTAGAATATTTAAAAAATTCCTACAACTCAACAACAGGAGAACAAATAATCTGATTAAATATGAATAAAGACTTGCATAAACACTTTCCCAAATACATTATACAAATCATCAACACATACATGAAATGATGTTCAGCACAATTCATCATTAAATAAATGCAAATCAAAACCACAATATCACATCACACTCATAACAATGGCTACTATTAAACACACACACAGAAACAGAAAGAAAGAGAGAATAACAAATGTTGGCAAGTATGTGGAGAAACTGGAAACCTTACGCACTGTTGGTAGGGTTGTAAAATGGTATAATCACTATGGAAAACAATATGGACATTCCTTAAGAAATAAAAATAGAACTACCATATGATCCGGCAATCCTACTGGAGTAAATATCCAAAAGCAATGAAAGCAGGGTCTTGAAGAGCTATTTATACACCCATGTTCTTTGCAGTATTATTTACAATAGCTAAGAAGCAGAAGCAACCCAAATGTCCATTGACAAAGGAATGAATAAACAAAATGTAGTATACACATACAGTGAAATATTATTCAGTATAAAAAAGGAAGGAAGGCATGTGTGGTGGCATGCACCTGTTGTTTCAGGCACTCTGGAGGCTGAGGTGGGAGGATCACTTGAGCCTCCAAGTTTGAGGCTACAGTGAGCTATGATATACCACTGCACTCCAGCTTGGGTAAGAATGAGACTCCACCTCTAAAACAAACAAACAAAAACAACAACAACAACAAAAAGGAAGGACATGCTGTCGCATATGACAACATGAATGAACCTTGAAGTCATTATGCTAAGTGAAATAAGCCAGTTTTTTAAAAATCCTGTATGATATTACTTAAATGAGATACTTAAAATAGTAAAATTCATTGAAACAAAAAGTATACTGGTGGTTACCAGGGGATAGAGAAAAGGGAAAATGGGGAGTTGTGAATGGATATAGTCTCAGTTTGCAAGATGAAAAAGTCGTGGAGATCTGTTGCATAACAATGTGAATATACTTAACACTACTGAAGTGTACACATACAAAGGATTAAGATGGCAAATCTCATGTTGCTTTTTTTTTTTTTTTTTTTTGAGGGGGAGTCTCGCTCCATCACCAGGCTGCAGTGCAGTGGTGCAATCTCAGCTCACTGCAACCTCTGCTTCTTGGGTTCAAGCAATTCTCCTGCCTCAATCTCCCAAGTAGTTGGGATTACAGGTGCACGCCACCATGCCCAGCTAATTTTTGTATTTTTACAGAGACAGAGTTTCACATGTTGGTCAGGCTGGTCTCGATATCGTGACCTTGTGATCTGCCTGCCTCGGCCTCCCAAAGTGCTGGGATTATAGGCATGAGCCACCATGCCCGGCCACCTTTTTTTTTTTTTAACCACAATTTAAAAATGTTTCAAAGAATGTTTATAGCACTTTTATTCATAATAGTCAAACCTAGAAACAACCCAAATGTCTGTCCACAGGAGAAAACTAGAAAGGACAAGAACTAAGCTTCACAAAGGGTAGAACAGTGGTTGTCAGGAGCTAGGGAATGAAGGAAATGAGGAGATGCTGGTCAAACGCACAAACTTTTAGTTATAGGATGAATAACGTCTGGGAATTGAATTTACAGCAGAGTGCCTATAATTAATAATACTGTCTTATTTAATGGAAATTTGCTAAGAGAATAGCTTTTATGTGTTGTCACCACACACATCATTCTGTGAGGTGATGATGTGTTAATTAATTTAATTGTGGTAATCATTTCACATGTATGCATATATCAATCATCATGATGTATACCTTGAATATATACAGTTTTTATCAATCAATTATACATCAATAAAACTGGGGTGGGGGAAGTGATAATGAACAAAGCTTCAGCAAGAGATGCTTTCCTTATCCATGCGTGGCATCCTATTCTGGGAAAGGCTGACTATGCTAGCTGATGTAGCAGCACTGCATAAGATTTGCAATGTGGGACAACAAGCAGCCCTCACCTCAGAAGAGAAAAACCATCTCCACACTCCTCAAAAGAAAGCATCCCTCTTGTCAAGTAATTTACCACTTGTCTCTAGCAGAAAAAGAAATCCTGTCTTATCTTCTACTGCCTGTTACTATCTCACTGCCTGAAGAATCTCCAAAAGTCTGTCTAGCCTGAGTGCTAAGAAATTATATATCTCACTGGCTAACAATAACAAGTAAAAAAAACACAATTGAATTAAGAAAGCACTATGGTTTGAAGAAATCAGGCTGACAGAGACTAAACTAGAATAGATGGTTTCAGTGCAAACTAAAATAATGAAAGATTGCCACATTATTCATAATTCAGTGCAAACTAAAATAATGAAAGATTGCCACATTATTCATAATCCTAAATGCCCATCAATGACAGAATGGATAAAGAAAACGTGGTATACATACACCATGGAATTCTATGCAGCCATAAAAAAGAACGAGATATCTTTTGGGGGACATGGATGAAGCTGGAGGCCATTATCCTTAACAATCTAATGCAGGAACAGAAAATCAAATACTGCATGTTCTCACTTACAAGTGGGAGCTAAATGATGAGAACTCAAGTTCACAAAGAATGGAACAACAGACACTAGGCCCTACTTGAGAGTGGAGGGTGGGAGGAGGGAGAGGAGCAGAAAAAAAATAACTATTGGGTACCGGGCTTAGTACCTGGGTGATGAAAAATCTGTTCAACGAACGTCTGTGACACAGATTTACCTATATAACAAACTGGCACACTGACTTTTAAAATAAAAGTTAAAAAATAAAATAAAATAAAATGATGAAAGGAACAGTTTCTACCTGGAATGAGAACACCGAAGGAGATGATAATTAGAACACAGAAAAAAAGTCTGCAATAAAAAAGCATAAATTTTTAAAGACTATTATTATTATCATTGAAACATTTAATAACACCACATAAGATAGGTGTTATTGTTTATCTCATTTTACAGATGAGGAATCTACAACATATAGAGCTTGAGAAACTCACATACACATTTGCTAAGTAATGGAAGTAGAAATAAAAACAAATAAAAGGAACAAAACTAAATAGATCATTTATCATGATAAAACTGAATGGGTTGAATTTGTCCATCAAAACACAAAAACTTTATAGAACTCAGTTAATAAACAAAATCTAGCCATATGTTAACTGATCAGTAGCATGGCTGGGATTCAAATCCTGGGGACCTGGTTCAGAGTGTTTTTTTTTTTTTAGTTAAATTTTTTTTTACTATTAAAAAATATTTTGTGCGTACATAGTAGGTATATACATTTATGAGGTACATGAGATATTTTGATAGACGCATATATTACATAACAGTAACATCAGGGTAAATGGGGTATAAATAATTTCAAGCATGTATCCTTTCCTTGTATTGCAAATAATCCAATTATACTCTTTTAGTTATTCTGAAATGTACAATAAATTACTGCTGACTGTAGTCACCTTGTTGTACGAGACTTTATTCATTCTATCTAACTAGGTATTAAGACCAGCATGCA